GAAATCGCGAGGAGGCGATACTCGTACTCAAAGCAAACAAAACAATAGGACAACGTCATTATCATTTCTTGGGAAGTACAATCTTCAATACATTACCTACCGAGATCAAGGTTATGGATTCAGAAAAATTATAGAAGAACAAAATGATTAATGGATCGAAGAGCAGCCGAGAACTGCAATTCATGAATTGATAGACATGAAAAATAATTGAGAAAATGCATTATCCAGCCGCAATTTAATATATTCGAGTGTACTACTCGTCACTCAAAAAAATCGTATTCTACATATCATTCATCATCTTGAAATAAAAATACTTAACAAATGAATATATTGATGAAGCTACGGTTTTAGTGAAACGCGTCTGGAATAAAAATTTCATTTGTGAAAATTGTTTGATAATTACTATAGATTTTTTTATCAATTTTCATCAAGTAATGGATCAATGTATTCATGAAATGAATATAATTTAGGAAATGTATGGTCGTTGAAGTATTAAATTGATTAGTTAGATGAGTTACAGAGTTATCTTCTGTTCCATACCTTTTTTTTAACATTGAATAAAAAAGTTGTTACCACCATAGCAGTCTCTCAAAAGAAGACCACCAAACGCAGACAACAACTTAAAAAATTGCATTTACGGAATAGAATATCAAAGCAGTAAAAGAAAGTAAGTGGTCTTTGGATGTCCGCATTGCTGAGTACAAAAAATACCTGGAACCAGCAGATGGCGAATAGCGGAGCATGTTTAGACCCACCAACATAACATTTACTTCTCCTGAGCTAAAGTCATCCACAGGGAGGAACACTCGTTTGAGTGAAAGCTCAGAAAAACTGCGTACTTGTTTTGGAAACGATGTACCGATTAAGAGGGAAAGTGGTCTATATTGCATTGTATCGAAAACCGTAAGGATGAAGAAACGAGTGGGGAGCAATGAAAGCACCCAAGCTAACAATCAATAGTCTCGAATATCAAGAATATGACAATTATGACCTGAAAGTAATTGTGGATATCAACAATCAAAACGTCGTGAAGTAACTATGTTGTCTGTTGATCCTAGCGTAATTGGAATACTCCTTGCTTTTCTCAATAAAATAACGAGTAATAGAAAGCAGCTTTTGTTATACATGTAGTCCTGTACACCATTTTATATCATTATTATAATTCTTAACGACTCCCTATGTCAAGTATCAACTGTCTACAATTTTTCAAATGACACGTGTCACTATAGTGTGTTCGATTATACCACATTCATCTCCCTCTTTTAAACTCAGAGTTCGAGTCTCTTCGGAGGTCTCATCACCCTAAATAGTCTGAGAACTGAAGGTCCAGTTGTAGGAAATACATTCACGTTATCATTTGAATTTCTGTAATTTGTCTCCAAAATAACAGTTCGTGGTTCTCAATCTGTGAATTTTCAACTGATGGACTTTCAATTTCCGGAATAACTACATCAACTGATTATTTTCAACCACTTGATTATATCAATTGATGGATTTAGGTAGTTCTGGTGTCACATTCAACATGCTCTTCCTCATACAATTTACATGTTTGAAAATTATCCTACCTACATTCTTTCCACTTTACTGCACTAGTAGCGCGTAAGCCACCTACTAAAACTTTTTCACCAACATTAAATTTCTTAGGACCTACACATTTATCCTGTTTTCCTATACATGATACAATTATTATTTGATGGTTCCAACATATCTAACGTAGTTCTTGGTTTATATTCGAATAACATGTCATTTGGATACAAGGACGTTGTTATATATGGTGTATTTCTGTAGGAGAACAAGAAATTCACAAGCTGTTGCTCAATAGTTGAACTCCAAACAATTCTTGTACAAGGCATTTTTTACTATTTTCACATAACCCTCAACTAATCCATTTGACTGTGCATGATAGTGATAATAATAATGGACCTCATTCATCACAAGAGATAAAGGATATCTTTTTTTTTCTGATTGATTCGGCCGTAATTTCAATAACTACTTCTCACGATTTGATCTCCACAAACTTTATTTGAAAAATATATCACAACATGTTTCGCCAGCACAGTAGGTTTGTCAAGTGATCACTTAACATAGCTACTGCTAGCGAAACATGTGATATATTTTTCAAATAAAGTTTGTGGAGATCAAATCGTGAGATGTAGTTTTTGAAAAAGAATATCTTATTTGTATTTACATTACATTAATTGGTTATAACCTTATGACGAATGGACGAGGTGTCAGCTAAAGTCGTTTTTCAACTCGACCTGAAGAACGGTCAATGCCATTGAATTGACAAAAATTTTGAAACTCAGTAGAGTTAAATGAAGGTCCATTGTCACTAAAAATCAATTGAGAAATTCCTATAGAAGAAAACGTTAGTTTGAATTTCTCTATGGAAATTATCATCTTTGAAATGGAAAAAATCAATGTGAACTCTTTGAAATACATTTTCTATTTGAGACCATGATATTAAATGCTTTTCAGGTAAGTTGTTTTGGATTATTTGGCATGGCCTACATTTACTTAACATTATCTCAAAATCTTCATTTTTACCAGGCCACCACACTACAGATCTCGCCAACATTTTAGATTTCACCATTTTCAAATGGTTTCAATGTAATTGCTCCAAAACTTTTGTTTCAGAATTACTGGTATAACTACTGTATTTCCCAGGACAATGCAATCTCCTATTTTCTATTGAAGGCATATGGTTTTAATGAAGGATAAATTTTGTTTGAATTTGGCCAATCACGTAAAATATTTTATTTGACCTTTTTTTGTAAATTCTACAATTTTAGTATTCGACAAGGGTATCTCATCTACTAGATCGAATGAATTTATAGGTAAAATACGATCCATGACTGACTGAAAAATAGATAGAGCGCTAGACATTTCAAGAACCATTTTTGTATAACGATACGATCCTACGATACACTCCTGTGTGTTCACAGTAAACAACTCTTGGGATGATTCTTGGACTCTTAGTTGGATATACGCCCCTGTACGATCCAAAACTGTGAACACAGACCCACCTGCAAGTGTAGCAAAAATATCCTCAATGGTTGGTAAGGGATATCGTTCTTGCACTAGCACCTTATGTACAGTAACCCGAAAATCTACACACATACGAACATCACCATTCTCAGGTACAATTACTATGGGAGATGCCCAAGCACTATAGGAAACAGGTTTAATGAATCCTGACTAAGCTAAAAGCTTTAATTTTTTTCCGCTTTGGGTCTGGGTCATAATGCATAAGGCATATTGTACACTTTCTTGAAAATGGGACTGACATTCTCTTGTAATTTCAAATACATCTCAAACCCATTCATTGGTTTGGATATATCACCATCATACTGACTGAAACCTGAAGTTAAGAACACTGACATCGATGTCTTGCCATTGAGAGATACCTTATTTGAAAATTATTCTGTGTCAATTAGGAAACATAACATTCAACCAATTTCTCTCCAGCAAAGGTGTGAAACTTTTACCAGACTTTGTTCTTAGTGGCAATCTTAATATTTGATCAGATCTGTAAACATTTACATAACATTCTTCAATGGCTTCTATCTGTTGACCTGTGACTGATGATAACTTATACTTTACAGGTTTCAATTTACAATTCAGAAACATTTCATGAAATGAATCATTATCAATACTAGTTCTGCCCTGTCTGCATATTTTTGATGTATGAACCTGCTTCTTACATCGGAAACATAACTACTCTTTCGCAGGATATGTCGTCTGACTTAAGGACTGACTGAAGGACTTCGAACCACTGACTCCATGAATATCTTGCACTTCCTAACTATTAGCAAGCATTCGAGTTTCTTTTTCAGCTATCTCACCAGCTCGAGCAGTAACACATGCATTGTTGAATGTCAAACCCATTTGGGACAACAACTTTCTCTGCAAAATCTCTGACTTCAAACCACATACAAGTCTGTTTCTCAGAGACGGTCAAGTACTTGCGAAGTTCAACCATGTAATCACTTACAATTTGGTCTGAATCGAAACCGTTTCCTGATTTCGAATTTTACAGGAAGGTAATGCTTCTTTAATATATCTATGTGATATGTTTCATCACTGGATGTGAGCGGAGTGATCAAACCTTTGAGTGTTGCATACTTAACTTGACCTGCTAATGTTATGTACAAAAAAACTTTCATTTACTCCTCGACAGCATTGACTTTGAACAAATTTTCATTCAATGAAAATAGAAAGCAGGTTTCATTGTCAATGTTAGGATTCACAAACTCCTTATGTCAAGTGTCAACTGTATACATTTCTTCAAATAACACTTGTCCCTAAAGTGCGATCGATTATACCACAGTAAATTGTTTTTTTTCCTTCTTTTATTTTTTTTTCTTTTTTCGCATTTCTTATCATATATGTTGATTATTTAGTTTCATTTTCACTTCATTTTTATTGCTTGTATATATTCGGTATTTCAATTATTGTTAATCTATTTATTAATTAATTTTCATTTCAGGTAACAATTTGTTTGCTTCGCAAATTAGCATGCTCATATTTTTTCAATTTTTCTATTCATTGCTTATTGATTTTTACGCAGTTTGTTCTATTTTCACTGAATTGTCCTAATATTTTGACCCGGTAATTTTCAGTATCTCCAGTAACTTTATCATTCCATTAATTTTTAGTAATTTCATTCTTCTATAGAATTCAAATCTTATAATACCTTTTTTAGACAATGGAAGTGACTGAACTTGTAACATTCACCAGGAAACATTGTCAACCACTCTCAAACAGAGTTGCAAATTATTTCTGTTCAAAAATAGTAGAATGAACAGAATTTATACTCTCCAATGACACTAGTTTGTAAACAGTGGCCTTGTAGGGTTTTTCACTTGACTATACTTAGAATAATGTATTATAGAAATAATACAAATTTCGTAATCTCATCTTAGAGAAATAATGTAAAAGTTTTCAAGAAAGTTTAGTGTCGTATTTTTTCAAATTAATCCAGAATATTTTTGTTTCAGTTGAAAAACGCAGCTGCGAATGTCCTGAGGGAAACCTGGTTGATTTATAAACATACAAGGCTAGTGAAAAGAGTTAACCCAGGTAGAGTTCGAACTCATCAAAGAAAATTTCTACTCGCTATTTACGCGTAAGTATTCAATAAACCCAATTTCTTGTTTTTCATTACTCTACCGCCTCTCAATACTTCATGAGGCAATAACATGGTACTGGTCTAGGTTTTCTGTTGGACTGAAGCTGATGCAGCTTCTCGGCAATCCTCCAACTGATGCTAATATCTACTATTTATATACGTGGCGTTGCACACATTATATGGATGTTCAGTGAAGAATGTTTCATTTACTAAGGTCAATCTAATCAACAGAAAAGATAAGATAATTCCGTAATCCAAAATCTTTGACATTATTCAAGAATACTCCAATAATAAAATTTTTTTGATTGTATCGGAAGTGAATTTTTGCAATTTTTCCTACATAAAGATTTTCCCTGATTACAACGCTCGCTTAGGGTCAAAAACAAAGACATATTCAGCATCCGCTCAAAAACTGGTTTCTGGACTTTTTCACAGGGTCTGTCAAGAACCATTATATGATGTGAATTTTCTAAATTTAAAAATTCATTACTTTTTCGCCAAAGTCTTTCCAAATTTGAGTTGGTGCGGGATTATTTCATGTTCTAGGTGCTCTCTATTCATTTCCTTTTGAAATGATTCATTGAGAAAACATCATTTTGACAAAATCGATGAGGATAATAATCCGACATCTGAAATCACTATCATATTTAATTTTGTTTTGGTTAGTTTCCGGGTTTTGCGTTGGTCTCTTTTGGTTACAATCTCCAAACGTTTCGACTACTGCAACTGCGGCTGTCATCTTCAGTAGAGAGGTCGAAGTACACTTCTTGACGTATCAACAGTTGATACGTCAGTTGAAACGTTTGGAGATAGAAATCAAAGAAGAACGCGCAACACCCGGAAACCGAAACATTGAGGCCAGCCGTGAAAGCCTCCATTTCTATATTTGATATTGTTGATCTTGAGGCTGTCCTCAAAGGGGATCTTTTTTAATGTAATAGAACTTTGTGATAGACGATGAAATTTGGACTGAAATAGATATAAATGGACTCATTGATTATAATCTAAGGCAAATGTTATAATATTTCGAGAAGACTCTTGCAGTTGGCCCTGAACATTATAACAAGATAGTCGAAAGAAAAAGGATTTAACACAAGCCAATCCAGATCAACTGTAGTAATATTCACAAAGTGGAGTGAGAAGGACTAGTATCCCTACAACTCCTAAGTGAGCATGAATATCTAAGAATGAAATTGAATCCCAGACTGAACTGGAGCCAACATTTAGGCAAGATTATAGAAAAGGTATAGACATCACTGATATGCTATCCAAGTGTACCAACGAAAACACATTTGTGGTTGAAGCTGGACATGTTGTAATACTCGATGGTGGGTAAACCTATGATGAAATATACTTTTTTGACTTGGTAGCCAAAGAGAAAACAGGAAACAATTAACAATTCGAGCAGGTTGCAAAGTCTCACAATAGAATTGGTGACAGTTGTGAATCCTATTATTTCAACTTCAAACTGCATTTTTTTCTATTTACATAGATAAATATCTCCCTTCATGATAATATGATCATATATAATTACATTATTATGTTTTCTCAAGTATAGTTTTTTGTCATTTCTGTAAATAGGTCTGATTTTTCAGGTTGAGGAAAGTTAAAATGGACCAACGTAAATTAATGGATAATGCCAATACCATCACAGATATGGCCAAGGTAAGCAGATATTGAATAAGTTGTTTAGTTGTTTCAATAAAATTCGTTAGATCTCTTAACTATATGTGTATACAAAATAACTAATTGAATAATCTGAAAATGTACTCTTGTAAAAAGGTTGAGAATTATCGAAATTCAGTATCACTATTTTTCGAGTTCGAAAGCCGTAGATTTTTGGAATTTCTTCCTGACGTTTCGCTGACCCGAATGGCTAGCTCCTTCAGAGGTTTATATATTCTAGATTACTATCCGATGACTAAAAATTACGGTTTCGTAACGTGTATATATGTGTGTCAGGTAGTTAAGATTACCAATACCTGTACCAGGATCAGGTCATCTATCGAAATTACCACGGAGTCAGCTATAGCTACCTGCGTGACATCCGGGTCCAGGAAATAATACAAATACGAAGGTTATCGAGTGTCTTGATGTAGATACGGAAGTTATCAATCGGATATAGCACTCAAGAAAGTGGCAAACCAGAGACACGTGTTTCGGGTTTTTGGCTCATAATCAGTATGGTGCAGTCAAGTGTAAGGATGGGCAACAGTTACCAAAAGAAAGAAAAACAAATGCACGGATGGGCCCAAAAGCTTGAAACACGTGTCTATGGTTTGCCACTTTCTTGAGTGCTATGTCCGATCAACAACTTATGTATCTATATCAAGACACTAGATAACCTTCGTATTTGTATTATTTCCTGGACCCGGATGTCACGCAGGTAGCTAAAGCTGCCTCCGTGGTGATTTTGATAGTTTTCTTGTAAACACAAGATCTATTAACTGAAACCACAAATGTGTGGCTGGCTCCTGAGTAATATAATCTGAAGAGGAGTTGGTGAACTGTTCGAAACATTCGCTCTAATTACTCAAACGAAAGACACTTCCGTCAAAATAAAAAGCATTAGTGAGAAAGGAGTGACATCTCTTCAAAAATCAATGTTTACTATTTGTCTGAATCCTATGAACTTTGTATCATTCCGTCCCATTGAGCAGAACAGACCGATTCACCGGAATAATTGACTTTCCGGAGTTTTGGTTAATGTATCGTGAAAAGTGGCCATATTGATTTTCATTTCAAAATTGTAAATGAGTGCCAGAAGGTTTCGAATACATTTGGCCTAGAATGGAATACGGCTTATGACGATTATGAGATGATAAATGAATTGTGAGATTTATTTCTCATCTTCTCTCATGCTTGTCAATTACATTATTGTTCTGACAGATAGAGTAGCTTGGCAAAAGTTTCAAATCAATCTTAAAGCTTCTGTATTGATCCGGATGAAAATTGTAGTATATTTTTTTATTTTTTATGGCGCAGTATTAGAACTGGTAACTAGTTGAAATTATAAAATACCAAAATTTCAAAAAGGACTATATTTTTCACCCAACTGTCACAGAAATCGGTGAAACTATCAGTTTTGTTTCAAACAATAGTTGTCATGATTGACTCACCAAAAATGTCTTACTGTGAATCAGAAACCAGGGCCGTATATGAACAGGAAAGATTATATTTTTGTTTGACTTCGAAAATTATTTAACAAAAATATAGTTGTGAAGTGTTACAGGGACAAATTTCATTTCATCAGACATTTACTGCTCTCTACTGCAGTTTTAATTTCAAATGAAGAACATGAATTCTGTATCCATGGTCATTAGATTCTTCATATTTATACGTCAATCCCTCAGAAACATATCCTAAATACGTCACTGTTAGAAGTATAATTTATTCAACAAAAACGCACAATATTACAATACTAAAGATGATTAATTATTGAACACACGAAAACCCCTAATAAAAAATATAACCTCAGCTGTTTGACCTTGAGTACAGAGGTATTCATGAATTTTACTAGTTTGGAATTCCATTGTCTGATATGATTTAAAATCTGTGAAAGAACAAATTAAATTGAAATGAATTGTTGAAGTATCAATATAATCAATATAACGTGAAGTGAATATACAATAAAATGAATAAAATGAAGAAATCAAAATATAAGATGAAAACGACCTAACGGTAAAGCTACGCAACCTCGTAGCTTTACCTTATATCCGAGTGGAGGGGGTTGTGCTCTTATAAGAAGTGTGGTGTGAATATTCTAGTCATTTGAAATCCTCCTCATAATCGTCTGTTATTATATACAAGATGTAGTGAATGTGTGAAAAGTTTCACTCGGAGTGACAACTTGCGTCGTTATTAACAAGATTACTGTACACATGCAAATGGTGAAAGACCATCAACATCGAAGAGGCGGAGGTTAAACCCTCCAAAACCCACAGCAATGCAGACATGTTTGTGCTGCAGTTTAAACATTACAGGCGACTGATGAATGTACATCGAAGATCTTTGCAGCATAGAATAAATTCATGTGTTCAATATGGAGACGATTTCAAAATCATACGCACATCACTTAATTGTAGAAATATGAGCTACAGGGTTGATACTCAAAACCAGGGCCATAGGGAAAAAAAACCGGGGGGGGAAGGAATCCAAATTTTCCCAACCCCACCAGCAAAATTTACCAACTTTTGAAAAAATGAAAACCGAGGGATTAGTTACTACTATAATATAATAATTTCCTTACTTAGCTATCCAAAGATTGACTGAATGCTTATGCCCGATAGGGTATGCACAAACAAAAATAAATTTTAATTTTTTCAATATTATTATTTTCAATCTTCACGGCTCAAAATTTCCCAACTTTCTCCCAACTTTTTCCCAAGTTGAAAAGGCAGGGGAGAGGCTCCCCCATCCCCCCATGACGACGGCCCTGCTCAAAACCATCATATGGATTACCCCACTTCCTCAATGAATTGAAGCAGAAAGTGTTGATACTACTCGAAGGAGTGTGAGTGAACCATAAATGTGTGTGAGTTGATATAAAACTGTTTGGACGTTACTATCTTCAAAGTGAGGAACTTTTCAAAGTAAAGTACTCAATAATCCCAATCAAGTTGTTTATCAAGCAAATGATTTGAATATGGTTCATAACACTTTTATTTTTAGTTCAACTGCCCAAGCAATGGACTTTCAAGATCAAGATTCAGGTATGTGATGTATTCACAACTTTGCTGATTGAATGAGAATATATGATGGAATTGACCGATACCTGATGACAATTCATAACTAACGTAGGTATTTAAAAAACATTTCATCGCGAGATTTTCACCAAAGGATTTTACAAAAACGCAACGACATACGACATACTGTGGCTTCTCCTGGATCATCCAGGAAATTGTCAACATGAAGATGAATGTTGATAAATATAGCCCCAATGGAGGGTCTTCTTATATCGAGTTACTCAAATTCATTGAGTAAAGTAAGATAAAATGTAATGTGAATGTTTCCAATAAAAATAAGTACTGCTTTGCGTGGGCTGTAACTTTGGTTTCGATTTCTGTCAATGTGGGATTGTGTTAAATTTCATCACACACCACCACCGGGTTGGATGTAGCAAGTATGAATTTATCACTTGAGTAGGAAGATCTTCCTGAGTCTTGAGTTTTGTGGAGCAATTTTCACGAAATTGATGTGACCTAACGCCGGAGCCTCAATCTGCCTACTCCCCAGGTCTCATCATGAGTTCTCTCTGAGTTCTACTCCGGGGATTGAACAATCCAATCTGAATGATGAAATAACACTTGATGACCCAGTCCAAGTGAATGGAGTGAGCTCGACAGATGGGTATTTGAACGTTCCAGAATCTGAACGTGTCATCATGAGATGCACCTGTGAGTGTGAATGTAATTGGTGGGTGCTATGCAGCCATAACTGCCACTCACCAGACTGTACAGAGAAGTCGATACCAGTCGTTAATTCCAAATAATGAGCAGGGTTCAATTTGTATGCCGTCAAATTGATGTTTCTGAAATGTTCAAATATATCACATCTGATTTCAAGTATACCTATGTCAAAATATCTACCTATCCAAAATGTGACAATTGAACATAGTCCATACATGTTCACTCTATCATATTCTATCAAATATTCACTTTATCAGAAACATGCCTTCCATTCAGTTTGCAATAAAAGTCCACCTTCGATGGTATACTTGAACAATTCAATTCATCTAAAGAAAGTTTACGGAAGAACACCATTTCATCTCATAGGAAATGTTTTCACCTAAATCATCGCCAAACTCATAAAGTGATACAGCCACGAATTTGAAACTATCGATGAACTTTAATTTTGAAAACATTTCTGCCCAATTCGATCCAGTTTGTTTTCTATGAATTAATGTTCCGTGAAAGCGATAACAAAAAAAATTATTCCCAAATACGCTGATACAGATAAATTAAATAAAAAATCTGGTAAAATCTGGTGGAATGATGAATGTGATAGGGCATGCGAGAAACAGAAAAACCCGTTTATTAAATTCAGTGATGAATCGTGTATTGAAAACAAGATGCGATGGTGAAAAAATACAAATGAAGCGAAACGGACACCTGGACACATTTTTGTTTTTTGCCAACCATAATCATTTGAAAGAAATATGGTACAAAGTTATCAGGTTCAAAAACCGGAAACAAAGTAATAGAAATCCAATTATCGAAGAAGGGTGGATAGGAGAGTTTCATAACAAAACTGCATCAACCTGGGTGAACCCTTTGATACAATTTGATGAATGCCATATAAAAAACGAAATACAGAAACCGTTCATTGTCATGAAACTCAATGTAGCTCTCCATGAACACAACAATACGTCTTCAGGAAAGAATAACATACATTACTTCATGACTGTAGAGCTGCCAATTAAAGTGAAACATAAATCACTGTCTATTTTCAATAAAAAATGGAGTGGACAAATAAAAATTCTACAGAAATGACCTAATTATATAGTAATACCTATACTTAAACCAAAAAAACCCTATGAGCTGGAATCCCGTGATTTCAATTGATATTTCTCTATAAAATTCTGCAGTAGGTAGGTGTATACGTCAGAAAAAAAAGGTTCCAAGTCGACTCCTATAGGCCAATCACTTTTGCTTCATGCGTCATAG